TTTCCTATTGTCCCTGTTATTTCCTCTCTATTTGAAAAAGGAGCCCTCAAGATTCAAACTTTTTCTGTTGTCCTTGTTTTTTTCCCCTTTCTATGAAAAGGGGGCCTTCAAGATTCAAACTTTGAGCAAAAACCTGCTGAAAAAGGAAAAAGAATCACACAATAAATTCATATAATTGTAAAATTAAATATTTAACATGAAATGTTGAGAGCCCAATTGATGAACTGATCTAAAAACATCTCTGGCAAAAGCGAAACTGCAATTTCACCTGCAAAAAACGAAGATGAATATGTTTCTTGAAGGAAATTTGTTTCACACATTTCTCTCTCTACACACACGCGCACACTATATCTAACTCTTCGATTTTCAACACGGTACAAGATTTACAAAAGAGCATATAGGAAGACTCAAATAGTTTTCTCTCGTCTTTCTTCGTCAACTAGCAACTTGCAATAAAAATAAAAAATAAAGAAATTGAATAGGAAAACACACAAGACTCACACTTTCTCTTTCTATCTATCGCTCTCTTGTGGAAATCAAATGGGTTGTTGTCTAAAATATTTGAAGATTTATGNTCTTGCCCAGCAAGTGTCTTGATATGGAACAGCACCGAAGAAAAGTGAGGCCACGCTGACCGAGGCTCGCAATTTTTACTAGTATACGCACAATTTCAAACACAAAGGCCTAGAAAATATTTTTTCCACTCTTTCTCATGTAATAAATTTTGGGTTGTTCCGAAGAAGATAAGCGAGGAAACCAGAGAAAATCAAATTTGGACGACTCTAATTTGTTTATTCAATTAAACTGTGCAATGATATTCAAATCTACACATTTTAATAATGACTTGCTAGTTCAGTGAGTTGTTGAGCTAATTCTTATATATTTTGATTGAGAGATAGTGCTTAAATCGAACCCAACTTTTAAAGCTCAAACGTGTTTTTAATCACAAATGTTGATTTGTTAACTCTGCATAACAAGAAAAAAATCGTAGGATCACGTGCACAGATTTCGTTGTTGTTGATTTGGGCAAAGACTGTGTAATTGATTTAACTATTGGATTTTATCTGATATAGAGTACATAGTCCAAACTTCATTTTACTTCGAGTAATATTGTGTCACTATATCATGTGAGTTGCGAGTTGTGGATTTATNAGTGGAAAAAAATCAAAAGGCCGGGTTCTCGGAATCCTTTTTTCCTTGAAAAACGGATTTTGAGAATCCGTTTTTATTTATTTAATATTTTTTATTTTTATTTTTGTTAAAAAACGGATTTTCCAAATCTGTTTATATTTTTTATTTTTTTTATTTTTTATTTTATTTTTAATTAAAAAAAAAAACTTAAAAATGGATTTTGAAAATCCAATTTATAATTTTTATTTTAATTTGTAACGTATTAGGGGAGCAAGTGTAGGCTCGAAAGCCGTAACGCGCTAGCGCGCTTGTAGCTTTCTCGCTTTTTCTAGCCTTTTTTCTTACTTTTTTTATGCTATGCTATTTTTTAAAAGCCTATTATTGATGAGCGGAGGGGATTTGTTTGCGGTCGCAGAACAAATTCTCTTTTTATTTTTTAAAAGATAACGGGCGATTACACTATAATTAACCGAGATTGTATTAATTCGACTTTAATTGGACTAATTCGAGTTTGATTACACTATAATTGACCGAGATTGTACTAATTCGACTTCAATTGGACTAATTCGAATTCGATTACACTATAATTGACCGAGATTGTACTAGTTCGACTTCAATTGGACTAATTGAAGGTCGATTACACTATAATTGACCGAGATTGTACTAATCAACCTCGAATTAGTCCAATTGAAGTCAACTTAGTACAATCTCGGTCAATTATAGTGTAATCGACCTCGAATTAGTCCAATTGAAGTCGAATTAGTACAATCTCGGTCAATTATAGTGTAATCGAATTCGAATTTGTCTAATTGAAGTCGAATTAGTACAATCTGGCCCGTTATCTTTTAAAAAACAAAAAATTAAAATAAAAATTAAAAACGGATTTGCAAAATCCGTTTTTAAGTTTTTTTAAAATTTTTTTTTTTATAGATTAATTAAAAAAATAAAAAAAATAAAAAATAAAAACGAATTTTTAAAATTCGTTTTTATGTTTTTTTAATATTATTAATTAAAAAATAAATAAAAAAAATAAAAAATAAAAATGGATTATGAAAATCCGTTTTTCGAATAAAATATTTTTTTTTGAAAAACAGATTACGAGAATCCGGCCTTTTGATTTTTTTTTCACTTTTTTTTATTTTTTTTTTCTCCACTTATTTATTTTTTATTTTTAATTTAATAAATTACCAGCGAGTTGTGACACAAGAATTAATTAAATAATAATAGTATAACCAATTCAATAACACCCTAGATTAGATCCCAGTTGATCTTATATTCAAAATTACGTAATCACTTGCCCATTGTAAAATAATTAGTAATAGAGCATATAACTTTTAATTAATAATTAAAAATAGATAAAAGAAAATTATTTTATTATATTAGAATGTTTGAAATAAGTTTTGAGAAAACAAAAAGGCCAAAACCCATTTAAGCGAAGCATCCAATACATTTTGCAACCAGAAAGCTAGCTTCACCAAAATATTATTCTACATATGATTCAATTTGAATGTAACATAACTGAATTTTTATTCTCATGGCACTGTAAGTTTTGACAAAATTCTCCGTTTGTTAGGTTGGAAAAAATGGACTCATTTGACGAGCTCTAGGTTAGTTAATCGCCCAACCTCAGCAGGGAAAAAATAGTTAATTAACTAGACTGATCAAGATGTTCACACCAAGTATATATATACTTATTTCCACATAATGATCAATTAAATGACAAATGAAAATGTTAGATGCTATTGGTATAATGGAAAAAAGTTGAAGCAAAAGAGTCAATTTGTTAGGTTTTCCACCATATCTACAACCATATATAATATTATACACATTTTGTATGAGGGAATATGTTAAAGTGAATCGATCATCATATTATCTTTAAATAAAAATACATAATTATATTATAAGACGCCATATTTTTATATATATTATTTTTTAAATTATAATATTTTAAATTGCAAGTACGTATATTTTGAAAAATTAATAATGTTATGCTAACAAATGTAAATTATAATCCTATATGAATCCGCTGTTGAGTAAATTCCCTACTTATAATCCCCTTACCAAAGAAATTGACTCGGTTGGAATCTTCTTAAAACTGTCCTTTGTAGTCTGTTGATGTCTAAACTTGACCAACAATGTGTTCGAACCGTATACTAGAATGTATACTCTGTTCGGTCTGCACGAATAGGGATTTTGTATGGTATTCGGTACAAAAGCAGTGCGAATGTAAACTCTATCCGTGACTTACTTGGTATTTAATGAGAGCATTTACTCATCGCATTTAATGTTGCCTCTTGCTCCTTATATAGGAAGTGTGAGAACTTGTTACATGCCAACTTTAGACTTTATTTTTCCTTTTTACTTTACAAGATATCAACTAGATATTTAGTTACACCACATTTAATGCTAATGTACTACAAAACACCATCTCAATAAAGCAAACTCGCTCGGGTGGCGACACGCGTCCCAGATTACTGGGCACCATTAGATTGAAGATTACCGAATCCGCGTGCATTTAATACGTATCATACGGCTTTTATTTTGGTGATGATGGATGTTATCGGACACGCTATTCATGTCTCGCTCGGTCCTCCCTTGGATTCGATTCTTTCCATTACTTATCGTCCCGCGACCTTGAGTAAACTTTTAAGCAATTGAATTTTCCATCCGTTCGGTCTCTACCACGTACATAGTCATTTTATAGCTAGTTGGCAAATGTGTTACTCTCTCTATTTCTTTTTAGATGTCGTTTTAATTTAAAACTTCTAAATTACGATTTTAATGAGTTGTGTAATAATTGTATTTATTAATTATCTTAAATTTAGTATTTGAATTATTAATGGATGGTTTTAAAAGATAATGATAAGAGATAAAGTTTGTTAAAGAGGATAAAATTAAAAGAATGAATAAAATATTTCCAACGACAACTAATTTGCAAAAAAGTTGATATCCTACAACGACATGTATAAAAAAACAAAGGGAGTATATTTTACTCCATAATTTCTCATATTAATATGGTGCCTTGAAAATTTTATACTTGATTTCTAGGTAACCTAGGTTAGCCTTTCACATAAAAAAATACCAATTCATTTGATTTGATAGATAGGTAGGTGGGTGGCTTAGAGTGGGAAACTATAAAAGAGAAGCAATAGATTTTTGGTTCAAGTTTCCACATGCCACTTATTAAAAGGGTGTATTCATACTTTCATGACTTCTTAAAACTTATGTTAGTTTTTTTGTTTGTATTCTGAAAAAACATAAGTATAAAGGTGAAATTTGGGAGTAAGATTTTGGTTACTTATTTTGTTATAGAAATTGAAATAAGCATTTAAGAGGTTACACAATTCTTAAATCCAGCACAATGATAAATAAATTGAACAACTCATAACTTTTAATTTTTTTTTTCTTTTTTTGTAAATTTTTAAGTATACTTTCCGGCTTTTAATATTTTTAAGTATCCAAATTAAATACACCGAATATTNAAAAGTAGGATGAAAATTTTATTCATTATTTTTGTAAAATATTTTTCTAAATATAACATTATTAGTGAATGAATTGTATTCACTATTACCATTACCATCATAAAATAAAAATCATCAGACAATAGGGATCCGTGACTATAGAAACAACAACATATAACTAGGTGGAACTACAAAATGTAATATATTTTGTAATAAATATTTTCAAATTAAATAAATTTAACTTAAAAAACATTTGTGATATTCAATGTATTTCTCACATTGACAACACTCCTTGAAACTGTTGCTTAAAATG